CTAGCTGTATCAACGAACTGCAGCCTGGCTAGCTAGGTGCGAGCTAACTATCCTCAGCTAGCTAGCTAGCGAGTTACATAGCTAGCTAGCTAGCTAGCTAGCTGGCTAGCTAGCTAGCTAGCATAAAAGATGAATTTTGAGGGTTTTTGTTTGTTGTGGTTTAGTTGATGATTGATTGAGGTGTATGTACACCTGACGTCTGCATGCATGCATGCATGCATGTATACTTCTGTGTTTGTTTTTTTTTTTTATTTTTATAAATGGATTTATTGTATTTATTTCTGTTTCTTTTTAGGGTGCCCCTTTCTTCTTCTTATTTGCCTTTTCTCGTTTGCACTGCAGCAGCAGCAGCAGCAGCAGCAGCAGCAGCAGCAACAGCAGCAGCAGAGTCTGCAGTATTTCTTTGTAATATAGATGTATGTATGTTTTGTATATAGATTGTGTTTTGTGTTTTTATTTTATTTTTGTTTAATATATATATATATGTGCATGAGCTGTTGGGGTGTATCGACAGCTATATCTCCGCCTCTGTTTGCATACTCTACACCTGAAAAAAAACAAAATTTAAATATAAATATATTTTAGGGTTTATACTAGTGAGAGCTGGGGTGTATAGGCAGCTCTTGCTGCTGCACTGCAGCAGCGGCGGTGGGTGATAGGGGGCAGCAGCAGCAACCGATAGAGAGCTGTATCTGCCGCAAAAAAATAAAACTTTCACTGAAATAAAAATAAAAATAATATAATTTATGAATTTCAAAACAATTTTTCTCAAGAAGAAAATATTTATACACAAAAAGAAGAACACAGGGGCCCCCTTGCTGTGCGCAGGAGGCTGCGGTGCGGCTGGCGGGGGCCCCGTTATTCTGTGGTGTCTATGGAGAGGCGTTGAGTATATTGTTTAAAATATTTAATTTATATTAAAAATTAATGAAATAAAATACAAAATTTAACTCAAAAAGACCGCATACACCGCAGCAATCTATGAGCTGTCGATACACCCCAGAGGCATGCGTGTGTAGAGAAGGGGCTGGCTGCAGCAGCAGTTTTATTTTCTTAGATTTCTGCTGCTGCTTTCAAGTCTTCTGCCTTTCTTTGCTGCTGTATAGCCTTCATCATTCCCCCCAGACAGCAGCAGCAGCAGCAGCAGCGGCGGCAGCAGCAGCAGCAGCTCCTGCTGCCGCTGCCGACATCGGCAGACAGCAGCAGCAGCAGCAGCAGCAGCAGCAGCAACAGCAGCAGCAGCAGCAGCAGTTTCTCCTTCAAACTATTCTCCTCCTTTAATGGAGGATCATCTTCTACGGCTTGAAAAAACAAATGCAGCAGCAGCAGCAAAAGAGAAGAACCGCTGCTGCTGCTGCTGCTGCTGCTGCTGCTGCTGCTAGGAGAAGCAACAGGAACAACACAAGAGCTGAGCATACACCCCAAATCTAACAGCCTGCAGCAGCAACTGCTGCTGCCAGCTCACCCTCATGGACACAGAGCAGCAGCGAGCGCTTCGTCTTCTGCAGCAACAGCAGCAACTGCAACTCCCTCAGCAGCAGCAGCAGCAGCAGCAGCAGCAACCGCTGCAGCAGCTGCAGCAACAGCCACAGCTCGTGCTTCCACAGCAACAGCAGTGTCAGCTACAGCCGGTGCCGCAGCTCCTGCTACCTCAGCAGCAGCGGCAGCAGCTGCAGCAGCAAGCACAGCTCTTGCTGCCGCAGCAGCAGCAGCAGCAACT